TCGAAATAGCCGACTGGCGGCCATTTTGTTTTAAAGAATTCAGTTCTGGATCCGTATCCGAGACATGTCTGGATTGATCAAGTTCAAACTTCACACACACAAGGTACATCATGTCACAAATATGTATGTGTATTTGTTTCATGATCTCATTAACGATAGCCAAATGGCGGCCGCTTTAAGGCCGAAACTGCATTGAAATCGCACATTTTCACCATTCCGGACCCGTATCTCAGTTATGCATGGACGGATTTCATTCAAACTTGGTACATACATTAAACATAATAGGACCTTGATGCACGTCATTTTTTTTTCGGATCAAGTTCGAAATAGCCGACTGGCGGCCATTTTGTTTTAAAGAATTCAGTTCTGGATCCGTATCCGAGACATGCTTGGATTGATCGAGTTCAAACTTCACACACATAAGGTACATCATGTCACAAATATGTATGTGCATTTGTATCATGATCTCATTAACGATAGCCAAATGGCGGCCGCTTTAAGGCCGAAAATGCATTGAAATCGCACATTTTCACCATTCCGGACCCGTATCTCAGTTATGCATGGATGGATTTTGTTCAAATTTGGTACATACATTAAACATAATAGGACCTTGATGCACGTCTTTTTTTTTCGGATCAAGTTCGAAATGGCCGACTGGCGGCCATTTTGTTAAAGAATTCAGTTCTGGATCCGTATCCAAGACATGTCTGGATTGATCAAGTTCAAACTTCACACACACAAGGTACATCATGTCACAAATAGATATGTGCCTTGTTTCATGATCTGCTTAACAATAGCGAAATGATGGCCATTTTAAGGCCGAAAATGCATCAAAATCACGTATTTTCACAATTCCAGAACCGGATCTCAGTCATGCATGGATGGATTTTGTTCAGATTTAGCACAATGTGTTGTACATATGCAGGTGCATTTCGGTCATGATCTGCTTTGAATGTATATGTCACTCAAATATGAACGGAACGGGGACGTGTCATTGACAATGACTTGTCACATATAATTATGAGTTCAATTATCTTTGAAATGAAATGCAAGTTAATAGCGATGTGAATTAGATAATTTTTATATAAATGACTTGGGTGGCATTGTTCTCGATATACGTGCAATGTGTTCGGGTTTATCTGTAACACTACCACTGAATTAGAACCTGTTCAGCTGTTTCTAGATGGCGATCACGCTCGATGTTTGCCTCCGCCACCCGTACCACTGTGTGACACAGAGTACAATGAACTTAATGTAATTAGTTATAACGCTTACGAAATACCATACGTTGCCGGACAGTTTGGTCAGAGAGAACGTCTGTGCCGTATTCCTAATCGTCTACTTGAAGAACATCCGGGAGTTGATGTGATAATCTTTCAAGAAGTTTTCAAGGGAGGGTGTGGGTACGAATTTGGTGTTTCTCTCAAAGATCTTTTGGCTGCAAATGGGTTTATTTACTTTACGTCAATTGTCGGAGACCCACCAGAAACGTATCTCCGACCTTTCAGTGGCGGTGTTTTCATTGCATCAAGATGGCCAATCCTCAAAGAAGATGCTACTGTTTTTGGACCTGTTCCTACTCAAGATATATACCTAACAAAGGGTGTAGTATATGCCAAGATTGAAAAATCGACCAACTCCGGAAGTAAAATATATCACATATTTGGTACCCATTTACAGTTTTCACCTAACGAAGAGGATCATACGTTGTATAATGGAGTCAGAGTATTACAAGCGCAAGAGATTGTCACTTTCGTCGCATCCCAAAATATTCCTCAAGACGAGCCGGCAATTTTAGGTGGTGACTTAAACATTGATAGCATGAACTATCCAGACCATCGCGATTTAATATTCTATGGTATACTAGGTGTCACGATGCCGCCTATTACTGGTGATTTGGATACAACATACAATCCTGATATAAACCAACTTCCCGGGTGAGGGACTAGATGGTGCCATACCCCAGTGGCTCGACTACGTTCTAACATTTGACATTATCAGCAGCCATCGTCTTCAGTCTCGAGGCATTCCGTTTAGTGTCCCACTATGATGACCCTATAATGTATGCTATCCCGGTGTGATCTATATCGATTTT